CCTTGGACCAAACAGAATCCCAGGAAATAATAAAGAAAACCCAAAAGATACAGGTGAAAAAATGGGCAAGAGGGGGCCACGTACAAGGGTTTGTCGAAATTCTTCTTGGGCAATCTTGCGTTCTTCAGCTTTGACCTTAGCAACCTCAGCCTTGAGCTTCTTACGCTGCTCATTAGCAACCCTAATGGCCTCCCTTCTAGCATCATCCTTCCTCTGCTTCTCAAGCCTCATGAGCTCCATCTCCTGGATATATGCCTTGCGAACCTCCTTAACCTGCTTGGCATAGTCTCTTCTGAGCTGGGCAAGCCTAGCCTCTGCCTCCTTTGGGTCCTTTGGAGCCTCCCAACTTCCAATGAAGGAGCTGGGTTCGAGGAATTTGTGGTTCCTTTTGTGATCATTATGGTGGGAAGGCTTTGCAGTAGTGGCAAATGAACGTAGGGTTACAGAGAACTGAGAAGATTTGCGGAACAGAGGTTGAAGTGTAGCCATTGATGAAAGGCTAGTTGGAACCTAGTAGCAAAAGAAAGAAAATCACCAACTTACAATTCAATTTTCTGAAGAAGCAAATAAAAAGGGCAGAAAAAGTTGGGCAAAACCAAGGATTGGTCCCAAAGCAGGGCCAGGCCGACCCTTTTTCTTGTAGGTCGAGATTTTATCAATCCCATCCACTTGGTGGTTTGTGCAGGCCAACCACATATTTTTTTAAAAGATGGATAAAATTTAAAAATCAGGACTTATATCCTTATGAAATGTATTAAATAAAACCTAAATAAAATATACCTCAAGGTTTAAATTCAAGCATCATGCCATCAAAGTTTAAATTTCCAGCTTACCTCAGGACATTTCATTCAAAGGATACCTCGCTACACAGTTATTAACAATCCTTTTAAGAAGAAAAATTTGGCTCACTCACATGTATCCTTTAAACCACACCAAGTGTTAATGATAAACTATTTATCAGAACGGACAATGATCAATGTCAAAGAACACAAGCAAAATATAAACTTCATATTCATGATTTATAAAAATTGGTTTGAAGCAATGGTTCTTAAAATTAATTTAGAGGGAAAAAAATGAAAAGAACTGTTTGGCTTATTCTTCAGAATGGTTTTCATGAGTTGCAACACTCTATTTGGAGGAAAGAAAAAATTGTTGGACTTGAAAAGATATGAAAGCATTTGAACAGAAAAACAAACAGGCTATTAATGGGAAGACATTGAGTCCGTTCTCAATACTCCAATACAAACACACTGTCATCAAACTCCCTAAAACACATGTCAGCATAATAATATGTGAAGCCGCTTACTGCATTCACATTTATGCCACCTGAGTCATTCATATCAGTCTCTGCCATAAGGCCAAAACACACAATACAATACATAAAAAGAATGTCCGCATCACTGAACCAAAGGAATCACAGTAATAGCATAATATTGAAAATATAAACTTAACCTAGAACAACACCGGTTCGATTCAACATTACACAATGCTGCACTGTAATTGGGACTCAAAAATCTTCAAATTTGCTTTGGTCACTTTAAATCTAAAAGAGAACCAAATTTGACACATGTAAGGATTCAAGGCAGAAAGGTGTTCATGGAAATTAAATAGGTTGAAACCAGAAATTTTGGATAACATGATTGCCATTCAATATATGGTATTTGAAAACCAAGATTTTTTATTGTTTGAGGAGATTTAACACCATTTTCATAAATATTAACGAATTCGAATGGTTTGAACTTTGACCAATGAGAATAAGACTGCTCCACAACTACACTGACTAAAAAACATTCCTGGAAATCGGACTAGGGCCTTACCATCATTTTTCAGCCCCATGTGAATTACATTAATGAAATAACCCCCGTATCATCTATATTGAAAGCATATGTGCCGTGGAATCAAAGTAATCAGGATTCAGCAAGAAAAAGGGAAATCTTATGAGAGTTTGAGTTCTTCAATGTCTGAGTGACTGCATCTCAAGGTACATATATGGTTATAATATATATTTTATTACGACTTCAAGATGTTCATGCCAATCTAAACATGATCAGATGGTTAAGAGCTTAAACTCTCCATAGTTAAGAACCAGGAAAAATCAGAATCTCTCACTGACGTCAGAAAATCATTCAATTATTGTAAGAAATCTATCATGCCAAAATCAACACACATTTTTATTTATCTGTGTGCACACTTTAATTGCCATAATCCTTTTTGAACCACTACTGCTAGAAGCTGTCACACACAACTCTCTGAACAGAGATCTGCATCTTATCCTCTATGGTATTTGACCCAACAAAAATACAGGAACACAACTATTCTCTTCATGAACTCATGCTTCGCATTCAACTAATCCAACATTTTCAAGTAGATTCATTTTTGGGTAAGTGTTAAATAGATAAATCTGTTAGGTCTTGTATTGTAAACTTCATAATGATTTTTAACATTTGAGTAGAAATTGAAGCAGCCCTACGGCTTATCAAATGTCTCATAAAATCTTGATCCATTGGCCCAACACAGGCTACTGTAGAATCTATAAATGAGGCACGACAAAAAGAACAAGAAGAAGAGCAATGAAAAATTATAAAACATAAGCACATCACTAAATGATTAAAATTTTGATAAAATCTGATACTCTCCATATATATTTTATATATATTCATGGCGGTGACTTCAGATTTTTGCGTTTTTTGCCATTAATATATATATATATGGGACCTTGTATATATGTATATATATTCATGGCGTGACTTCTGATTTCAGCGATTTTTTCCATGAATATATAATCATATTCAGACTTCAAATTTCTGCGATTTCTGCCATGAATAATGAAACCATATCAACAGCCGCACCGTTTTTGCTATTTGAATACGATGGACGAGAGAAAGTAGGGTTCTAGTTATCAAAGTTTAGTTTGTAACAAAAAGCTTACCTATTGACGACGCACGAGCTAAATGAGGGCTGAGGAGGATGAGAGATTAGATCCGGAGATTGGGATGGTGTGCAAACGGCCGACCGTGCAAGCTCAGAGCTGAAGAGTGAACGACAGCGATACTGTGCCTTGTGAGGTCCGACCGTGCGACGTCAGAGCTGGAGATCGTGAACGGCACCGGTGACACTTGGAGAATGGAGAACAAAGTCGAGAGTGGAGATGGAGAGCTCAAGCAGCGGCGGCGGCGGCTAGATTGAACCAAAGAGTTAAGAGATGGACGAAAAACCAAAGCCCGTAAGGGTAGAGGTGTTTTTTACTGAACTAATTGGGTTTAAAATTATAAATCCTGCACGATGGGCATCAACAAAAGGTGTTGTGCGTGGGTGGTGTAGTGGTAAGATTACTACCATCTCACTTGCAGGTTTTGGGTTCAGACTGTTTGATAGGCAAAATAGGCCCTGTACTTATTTTTTAGCAGGTTTGGGGGCGGAAGTAGGCCAGGCCGAAGGTCTTAATAGATTGTCTGACCTGTTTTGACCCTTGGTTCTAGGTTTCTAGCCAATACACGATATTGCAAATTCATAACAGGTTCAAACTGCTTGGTAGATGAAATAGGCCTTCAAAGAGGTCTGAGCCTGTACTTATTTTTTAGTAGGCCTGGCCTGATCAGGCAGGAGTAGGTCAGGCTAAAGGCTTCTAACAGGTCACCTAGCCTGTTTTTATTTTTAGTTCTAACCAATACACTTGATTAGTATGGATATTTTAGAAAAGATAACACTTATTTATTATAAATAACTAATTTAATTTATTTTCTAATCATCTTAAATTAATTAACTAGTTTTTATAATAAGAACAGGAGGTAATATTATTTTCTTTTCTTATACATATCCCACCACACCTAAAACCAATGATAATGAATCCATTATAAACAGATTAGGATGATTGACACACGCACACGCAAGATATTAACTAATTGTGTGATTAGCAACTGATTAATATCTCTAATAAAGCCATTGTCTTGATGCTAAGATGCCACGCTGAAAATTTCTACCCATAAAATACAAATGTGACGCTGTGGGAATTGCTTTTGGCCTAGCAAATAATAATAACAAATAATATTTCAAAAACAATATTTTGCTCAACATTTTTCTTCTTTTCCTTTTTCAGTGAGAAATTTTACTCCCCATCATTTCCTTTTGCTTTTTTCTTTTTGTTTATTAATTGCCAACGACATTTCCCCCTCCATTTAAAGCAGCCTAGTGCTTCATCTTGGCGTGTAAAGTTAAAAATTGATGACACCTTTCAATTATAATTCACTAGTTATATCACATCATCAATCCAACCCCATCGGATCTTTTAATTGACGGTCAACGCTCGCCACCGTGGCCCAAAAAAGACAAATTCCCACCACGGAATCTCCGCCAACTTCCACGTGTCATGTCCTCATTGGACCTCCATCTTTTTTCTGCTCTCCCTCTTCTCTCTCCCCATCCTAGCGGCGTTCATTTTTTAATGCCCGAACCCCACTCCTTCGTTCGCCTCCATCCCAGTCTCTCCCAGTGAACACGCACCAAGGTAAGCGTCCTTGATCCAAGTCTCAATTTTTCTCTCTAGGGTTTTGTTTCTCTTCTGTGTTTTTTTGGCTTTCTCTCCTCGATTCTTCAGTTATCTACTTATCTTTATGGTAGTTTCGTCGATCTTATTTTATTTTCGTTTTTGTTTTTGTTTTCCCTCTTAATTTTTGTGGGTAGTGTGCGTCTTGATTTGGATATCAATTCTTTACTTGTTTGGTTGTTTCAAAGGATTCGGTATTTCTGGATTGTTGAAAGTCTAGCATTTAGTTGATGAATATGATGTCTGAGACTGAGTCGTGATAAGTGGAAGAGGAAATTTGGCTGATGAATGGCTGCTGTGCCCCTCTCGTTTGGTCGCCACTGATATTCATTTTGTTAGATGGGCTTGGTTGATTTCTTTCATTGTTTTCCTGCAACTTCAACTATGCGCTGCGTTTGTTGGTGTACAAATCTGATAGGGTTGTTTTCTTATTTTGAAATCAGTTTGAACTATTAAGAGATAGATTTGTGTGGCGAAGATGTCTCCACCCAGTCGCGTGAAGAAAATGTTTACATGGCCAAGTTGGCAGAGCAAGCAGAGAGGTATGAGGAGATGGTTGAGTTTATGGAGAAAGTTGCTAAGACAGTGGATGTTGAGGAGTTGACGGTGGAGGAGAGGAATCTCCTTTCTGTGGCTTACAAGAATGTGATTGGAGCTAGAAGGGCTTCATGGAGGATAATTTCATCCATTGAACAGAAGGAAGAGAGCAGGGGTAATGAGGACCATGTTGCTATTATAAAGGAGTACAGAGGCAAGATTGAGTCTGAACTCAGCAAGATCTGTGATGGGATTTTGAGCCTTCTTGAGTCTCATCTTATTCCATCCGCCTCATCTGCTGAGTCTAAAGTGTTTTATCTTAAGATGAAGGGTGATTATCATAGATACCTTGCTGAGTTCAAGACAGGAGCTGAGAGAAAAGAGGCTGCGGAGAATACTTTGTTGGCCTACAAGTCTGCTCAAGTAGGCATTCACTTTCATTTATACGCATACTCTGCTACTGTTTACAAGTTTCCACATTTCTATAGAATTATTTCTACTTTTCATAGTCTTGATATGTTACTGAACCCTGAATTATTATCATTATTTTTTGTTTGTTCTAGGATATTGCTCTAGCAGAATTGGCCCCAACGCACCCAATAAGGCTTGGTCTTGCTCTCAACTTTTCTGTATTCTATTATGAAATCCTCAACTCCCCGGATCGTGCCTGTAATCTTGCTAAGCAGGTATCACTTGCTATTTATACAATTACTATATTTTTTTTATTGCAGCAAATTAATGTTGATGGGTCCTAGATATTTGTTGCATATCTTAACAGGTTTTCTACAATAAAATTAGTAACTTCAGTGGTATTGGGACCATTGCTCACTCAAGTCGTGTGTTTTGATTAATATGGCTCAAAAACATTCAATATGTGGTTAGATTGAAGTGCTTGCAGGACTATTTTAAAGGGTTTGCAGGGAAGTGAACTTGGTTATTTAAGTCAAACGTGGTTGAAGTTGACTTTTGTAAATTATTTGATTTGATAAATGGATTGTATACGTGCCCTGTCTCTGTTGTCATTGACAAACGGAATATGTTTATTTGTTAGCCTCCACTTCACTGTTGGAATAACTTATTTAATGGCAGGGCTCATATCACCTTCATTATGTGATATGAATTGTATATTATATTGATTTTTTTGTTAGTGTTTGAACAGAACAAGGTGATGGCTATTGACCAAGTCCACAAATAAGATATATTTTGTAATCACATGGTTGTAGTAATTTGCGTTGAAAGAAATGAGGTTCTTGTTAACCGACTCCTGATTTAAAAGGGGGGGAAAAAATTCATTCCTTACCACAAGGTTCTTCTCTTCATAATGTGAGAAGGTTGATTTATTATTTAGTTGATCTTTCAAGCCATGTTGATTAATTTTTGGAACTTATATCCCTTCCTCCTGACTTTTACCGTGTTTGTGTTCTTTTTCCTCATATGGCAGGCCTTTGATGAGGCAATTTCTGAACTTGACACATTGGGTGAAGAGTCATACAAAGACAGTACATTGATCATGCAGCTTCTCCGAGACAACTTGACTTTGTGGACATCTGACATCACGTCTCTCCCTCTATCCTTTCTCTGCTGTCGTGTAATTCAAAAATATTGGGCATTTATGTAGTATCCTGCAACCCATGATTGCTAGTAAACTTGAATTCTTGAGGAGTAAACCATAGATAGTTCTATTTCTTTTAAACTAAATATAAGTTAGAAATATTTAATTTGTCATGAGTTAAACTTGCTTTCATGATCATTATTCTGTTTTTACCTCTCTTGATAGGCTACCTTGTAATGGGGAAGAGGTGGGTCCTGATATTTTGCAAAGCTTGATCTTTTTGTACAGTTTCTTGATGCAATGAGGTTATCCGTTTTCACTTGAAAAACCAAAAAGAAAACCTGCTCTCTAAATGAAAACAATCTAAACTTGCTCGTGTGGACAATCATGTAGTGTTCTCATGACCCCTGTGGTTTGAATATCCGAATACCTACAGGCTTGGTTGTTGCCCTGTAGTAGTCATGGATCTTTGGGCTTTCTTCGAAGGGATAACTGAAGTTTGCCCGTAATTTTGCTGAAATCTGCAGCTATGACATGAATGATTCTTAGGCATTATTACTTTGGTCACTGCAAAAAGTCATATGTCGTCTAATACTGCTGATGGCTTTATTAGATACGTTTTCAATGATTGCTTAGTGCAATCTGTGTTTACTTTGGACAGGGTTGGTGGCTAAACCTTGCCCCTATCTGGGATTTTGTTTAATTCCCCTTTTTCTTTGAACCATCATTTTGAATCGTTCCTTAGGAAGCTTATTCGTGGTTTCAGGATGATGCTGGGGATGAGATCAAGGAAGCATCTAAGCAACCAACAGGCGAGGGGCACCAGTAGCGTGGGGATATCTTTAGGATATGTATTCTGTACTTTAAACTTTGGATCCTTTTATATATATAGATGCCATGTGAGTTGCTAGTAGGATTTTTTTATGGATGTCATGACTTTCCTATGCGGACTGAATTTGGAATTTCCAAGGTTTTAGTGGTTCATGATTGTATTTATTGTTGCTGAGGTGATTATGGCTTGGTGATTGAGTGATTTACTATATTAAGATTGTAGTTAGAACTTTTATGATTGCATAGTATTTGTTTGTGTGAGATCCTTTTTTGCTTGGGGTGGTCTTGAGTCGCTTGCAAAGCGTTGCTTCTTCACTGGAATATTGTTCTGTTCTTGGCATGTTTCTGGAAGGAATGAAATGGAAGATCTGATTTGGACCATCTATTTAGAGGAATCGAGGGGAAATAATTGATTTACTCTCCAAAAATGAAAGTTTCATTCTGATAGAGCAAACCTACTTCGTATGAAATTGGAACACATGTTTGCACGATAGTTGGTGACAAGAATCGAACAAAAGTGTAAATAAAGCAAGTCAGAATCTGTTTGTTACATGGCAGAATCTTTGGCTGATTGCTTTTTATGTTTCCTTGGAAGTTTGACTGATTCAACTGATATTTTTTTGTAGGGTTAAGTGGCAACTCTACTCGTGCAACATTTGGTTATGGGCATCTAATACCATAAAATTTTTTAGTGTGAGAATGTCATGGCCATTCCAAAAAACAAAAACCGGATTAAACACCAAACTGACATAGTGGTTCAAGAATCAGTTGGTTGAATCGGGGTCAATTTTGAGTCAAACCAGTCATATTAAAATAAAACAATTTAATTAAAACTTACAAAATACAACAACATTATAATTTAATAATAACAAAATAGAAAGAAATAAAATAATATTTTGATAGTAATAATAACAAAACGTAACAACATTGAGAATTTAATCTTTACAATTATTACTAATTAAAATTAATGATTAATAATAGCAAAATTATGATTAAAATTCATTTAAATCTACTGAGATTTTAAGAGTTAAAGGAGAAAAAATAGGAC